TGCCACGGAGGAAAGGGGAGGAAAGGATTTTCGTGAATACCCGGAACTACAGACGGGTGGGGCGTGGGAAGGGTCATAAGGTCAGGCGACTTCTTCCTTGTTCTTCACAGGAGCAGCCCCTGGGAACTCAATGGGCTTCCAGGGTCTTCTGTAATTGAGGACAGAGGGAAAGGGATAAACGAAGGTCGCAGATGCTCCCCGAATCTCATTCTCATCCATTAGCTCCCGCCTCATCCTCTCCCATCCCAAGGAGGAGAAAAATGAGCTGCGGGAAGCAGGGGTGACTGCAAGTGGGGCTTGTCTTCTGGTGGGGGCCATGGTTCAGAGGGAGGCCCAGGGGGCTGGGCAAAGGCTCTGCCAGCACGCGGGGCTTTTCCACACTGGGCCAGCGACTCCTACCTGGGCAGGACAGTCCAATCCAGTCACCCTCCTTTATGAAGGGCTCACCCAGGCTCCAGGACATAGAGCCATGGGAAGGGAGGCGGCCCGTTCCCGCCGACCTCCAGGGTTGTTGGGCTGAGCCTGAGAATTCCGTGGACAAAAGACAGATTAGCGGGGCATAGGCAGTGTCACTGCATGCTCATGGGAGCCGTCATGGGAAAATGGAAGCCCCCCAAAGCGGCTGGGCCCAAGCGTTCATATACCGGATTGGACAAAGCACTAATTGTGAAAAAGTACCGAAGACATATGGAGAAGCTGAAAGGAGATAAGGGTTACTTGCAAACCCTCGTTAGCACTGATTGTCTTGGTGCCTTCTCCCTGTCTCTGGTGATAAGACGGTTTCATCACCCCACCCCACCCCACCCCGCCCCTACGGAGAGGGCAGCTCTCACATTCGAGTTTCATCTCCTGCTTTTAGGAAGAGAAAGGGAGGTCAGAGGGTCCTCCTTGCATCTGTGGTTCCAAGTGTCTTCCTCCCTCCCTCCCTTCCTTCCCCTCTCTCTCTCTTTCCTCCCTCCACCCCTCTTTCCCTCCCTCTCCTTCTCTCTTAAATCTCTGCATCCAACATGGGATTCGAACTCACAACCTTGAGATCAAGAGTCGCTCGCTTTACCAACTGAGCCGGCCAGGTGACCCTCAAGTGACTTTAACTGGAAATAATCTTATGTCAAACTGGCATTTGGGGCACATTCTGCTGCCTCTCACTACCCAGCCAGTTACTCACAAAAGCAGAACTAGAAGTTGGTCCTCTTCACTTCCGGTCTGTGGTTATTTGACATCTCAGTTACTGTCTTGTGTCTGGGACGCACTACTCACCCTCACTGACGTCTTGCGGGGAATCTACGATGCGCCAGGCCTGTTCTTGAGGCCTCCAGATTTACCTGAGCACATAAGAGTGACTGTTCCTGCTTTGTGGGGGAGGATATGGAAGTGCAGAGAGCATCAGGAGTTTAATAAATGGCACTTTCATGTGGTTCAGCCTGAAAACATGTGCCCTATAGGCAACAGAGCAAGTTAGTCACGAGTCTGAATTCAAAATCTTGCCATTTGTGACAACATGGATGGACCTAGAAAGTATTATGCTAAGTAAGTCAGAGACAGAAAGACAAATACCATAGGATCTCTCTTATATGTATAATCGTAAAAAAAAATAATGAACTGATATGTACAGAGAACAGATTGGTGGGCTGTGGGGGTGGGCACAATGGTGAGGCTGGTCAAAAGATACAGATTTCCGTTATAAAATAAGTAACACGGGGATTTAATGCACAGGTGACTATAGTTAATAATACTTGTTTTCATATTTGAAAGTCGCTAAGAGTATAAGTTAAAAGCTCTCATCATAAGAAAAAAAAATTCACTGCCACAATGTTAACAAGACTGCTTATTGTGGCAATCATTTTGCATTATATACGGACTGAGCCAGCCAGGTGTCCTTTTTTTGCAATACATGCAAATACCAAATCATTATGTTCTACACCCGAAACTAATATAATGTATGTCAATTATACCTCAACTTAAAAAAGGGAGGAGAATTCAAACTCAGGTCTTGACCTTGAGTCTGGTGCTATTTTTCTACTACTCCACTAGGCCAGACCTTTTTGCAGTACTTCCTTTCATTAAACTGAATTCCATAGATTATGTTTATTTTTATCTTTCATTATATTTTGGGAATGAATGAAACAGATGCATTTTTTTGTTTTTTTTTTTACCAGGAACATCCCTTTTAGTTTCACTCCATGTTCTCCCACTCAGACTCAGTTATTTCCCATCAATTCTGACCTCCCAGATCCCAGAAAAGATGGGCATGAACTTGAGAAGTGTTTCAAATCCGAAGTCAGCCAAGTCCCTGTCTCTGTTGCTGCTGGTGGCTATTAGAGCTCGATAGGACCTTGGCCAGACTCTGGTTTTATCCTTTCTCTTTGCAGATGAGAGAACTAGATCCAGAAAGACTGGTTTTCTCAAGGCCACACAGCTGGCCAGGAGTGTACTTGAGGCGGTTCTGCTGTACCCGACTAGCTCATAGCATGCAAGGGACAAGCTCTGTTGGGACCACTTCCCCTTGGCTCCCTGTACCGGGATGCGTGGTGGGTGCTTCTGAAATAAGCCTCGCAAGACACGGAGACTAAGGACAGGACATCCCCTTACTTTAAACTGATCCTTTCAAAAAAAAGGTCCCAACCTCTCTAGGGCCATTTTGAATAGTCTTAGGAGATACATCCCAGGGTTACTTTCTTCCCTTAGATGCTGCTGAGACCTGCGGGGAATGTTAACATGGGAGCTTCTAGAGTGCTCTGACCTCCATCCACTCCTTCAACAAATCACCCCAGTCGTCATTCATGGGCACTGCTGCAGCTACATACATGGCTCTGGGCTCAGAGGAGTGAGGTTCAGGACTTACTTGGTCTAGATGGGGGAATGTCCTCCTTTTGTGAGGAGACTTCAAATAGTTTTTCCAAATGTAGCCTTTCCTATTAGATGGGCAAGCAATACGACTGGTGCATTTAAGGGTCAAAGAGCCACGGAAATATTCCCAATCATTTTAGGTCATGTTGATCCAAACTCAACTCGGAATACAGTTATATCCCACCACTACTCAGTACAAAGCAGCCGGTAGATGCCAGTCAGACCCAGTGGGTGCACCGGCTGGAACCCCACTCAGTGGCAGGCGGGCCAAGAAGCCTGTATCTGAGGGTAGGGACGCAGGTGTTTTGGGGCAAAAGAAGGGCAGAGAGTGGGGCAGCACTAGGGAAACGCTGGGTGGCAGGACTGGAGGGAGAGCTGAGCCCATCTCCCATGCCTCTGGTCACTCTTAGTGGGGCCCGCTGGGGCTCGGGGAAGGAAGGTGTCTTTCCTGCTCTCTCGGGTGACAGGCAGGAGTAGAGGTGCCCATTCGTCAGCTGGAAGCAGCACAAATGACCATAGTGGTGAGTGAGAAGTGGGGACGACACCACTGGGGTTCTGCATTCTAAATATAAAACTAGCTGACCTTCCCTCCAGCCCAGGGCTGATGGGGCACAGGAGGCCTTGTCTTGTGGTCCAGCGCTTGAATCAAATGGAAATCATATGGTCATCATGGCGCAGCAAGGACCCCTGAGAGGACGTCCTCTGAACAACATTTAAGCACCTGGGCAAGAACACCAGAGAATTCAGAATCATTTATTGTGCGTCGCTCATAGTTCGTACATTATTAATGGCAAGACAACAGTGTCCAAGAGCTGCTGGGTGAAGAACTTCATTCTGACAATCTGCTACTGGCACCCCTTCTTTTTTCCAAAGTTTTAAGTCCCTACATCTTTCCTGAAAAGATCTATCCTCAAGGAGCTCCAACATCCTTCTTTTGCGCTGACAACCGACACAAAGGAGACGCTGTCCCGTTAATTCAAAGTGCTCCTTACAAGGTGACTTAACACACGGAAGATTTTTTTAATCCAAAAGCTACATGATGATTGCTTTATGTTTTGCTGCAAAATCAATGAGGGCCGCATGCAGGGGAAACAGCAGACGCTGAGTTCTGGGTAACTGTTGTTATTAAGACCTGATGCCTGGTGTGGAAAATTAAGAAGCTTACTTAGCAGGAGTAGCGGAAGCACTTGCATCAGCGGCTGGGACTGATTAGAGTATGAATCAGGTGTCTAAACATTGAAATGAGAGCTTGATTTGAACTTAATTCTATGTCTGGCACATCTGAGTTATACACCTTTAAAAGGACAACAGCAAAGAGAACAAAATCAAACAGCTAAACAGGCACTGATGTGTAGGACGGGCTGGGCGTGATCAGGACACGATGCGGGCTGGGCACCGGGCAGATCTCTTCTGAAGCAAAGACAGTGGAGCATTAATAAGCTCAAATGGGGAAAAAGAGAGAGCGAGAGCCCTTTCCTGTGCTGTCGTCTTTCAAAGTGTTCAGTTCTCTTAAGCAACAGCACCACACGTACACACACGCAGTAATTACAAAACAGAGACATTCTTTAGATATTGGACCCACTCTTCTGTCTTCTGCCCTGCCTCTTTGCTCCTTCAGATGATGGGTTTAAGAATAGCGCTGGGGTGGCATCCGGGTGGCTCAGTGGGTTAAAGCCTCTGCCTTCGGCCCGGGTCATGATCTCAAGGTCCTGGGATCGAGCCCTGCATTGGGATCTCTGCTTGGCAGGGAGCCTGCTTCCTCCTCTCTCTGCCTGCCTCTCTGGCTACTTGTGATCTCTGTCAAATAAATGAATAAAATCTTAAAAGAAAAAAAGAATAGCGCTGGGTTCACTGCTAGAAAAGAAAACTAACGCTCTCCTGAATCACACTGAGACAGTATTAAGCTCCTTCATCCTGTCAGGGTCAACATCACGTACAAGCACATGACCATGTGTGTTTGACGTACTGTAGCTACGGTGACTAAATCACATGTAACACTCTAATGTTAAATCATAGTTACGGTGACGTTAAAATTTTTTTTCATTGACGGTTGACATTATTTTGAGACAAAGAGAAAGCTCCCAAACCCCATAGATTTTGTTCCCTCCCTACCCTCTACCCCACCCACATCCAACGCACAAGAGAACTAACAGGAGCCATGAACTCAGGTGTCGATGGCAGACATAGCAAACGGCGGCCCCACGTTCACAAGCTCCCATCTCCAGTCCTGGCTTTCCGGGCCTCGATCATCGGCTTGGTTGCCCGTTTGCGGTCAGTGGCCAGCTCCAGCCAGCACATGAGGTCAATGAACCAGGTGGTTGGGTTGAAATTTAAGCTGAATTCACTTGCGGAGTAGTCAAAGGGAAAGGTGTGGTGGTAATTGTGGAAGCCTTCACCTGCAAGACAAAGTGGGATTGAAATAACCCATCTCCACCTCTCTGCACAGACTGAGTCCCCCACCCTTCACTGAGCTCTGTGGACAGCAGACTTTGTGTCTGCCCTTAGAGAGCACTGGCTCGAAGAAGTACAAGCAGGAAAACAACGAGACAGTCAGCACAGAGCCACGAGGTTCATTTCCCCGTATGAACCGTAGGTATGTTATCAGGATTTCAGGGCTGGACTTCGGAAACTAAATGCTAAATGGCTGATAACAGATCCTCATTTTTTAAAAGATTTTATTTATTTATTTGACAGACAGAGATCACAAGTAGACAGAGAGGCAGGGAGAGAGAGAGGGGGAGGGAAGCAGGCTCCCTGCTGAGCAGAGAGCCCGATGCGGGGCTCGATCCCAGGACCCTGAGATCATGACCTGAGCCGAAGGCAGAGGCTTAACCCACTGAGCCACCCAGGGGCCTCAACATTTCCTCGTTTTGATGTTTGATCATGAAAGGAGAATAGCCTCCGTGAGCTGGAGGGACCAGACAAGGGCTCGCTGGGAGCGCCCGGAAGACCGGGAAGCACATGGCTCGGACAGGGCAGCAACAAGTTGAGGAGCGGACCGTTACCGTCCCAGATCCGCTACAGGCATTTCCATCCCTCCTGCTAAATAGCTTTTCCTCCCTTACTTTTTATTTTGAGGAGGGATCTCAGGGCTTCTTTCATTTGACTCTCATACAGCTTTACTGAGATACGATTCACCCATTTGAAGTACAATTTACTGGCTTTTAGTGTTTTCCGAGTTGTGCACTCATCACCACAATGAATTTTATAACATTTTCATTACATAAAGGGAAGCGCCACACTCCTGAGCTCTCGTGCCCCAACCATCCCCCAAGCCTTACGTGTCCCCCCGACGGGCCAAGGCTTGCCCAGATCAAACATTTCTAGGAGGCGCGTCTGCGCCGGTGGCTCTGGAGGAGACGAGTGTCTGGAATCAGAACGCGGCATCCGCGGACTCCGTGAAGCAGACCCCCTCCCCAGCAGAGGCGGTGTTGACCGTTGAGAGCCTGAACAGAACAGATGGTGGAGCCAGGGGAATTTGCCCCTTTTTTTTCTGACTCAGTGACTGAACTGCAACATTTATCTCATCTTCCCCTGCCCTCAGATTGGGATTTACATGATCTGTTCCCCGGCTCTCGGGCCTTGGGACTCGGATTTAATGATCCCACTGGCTTTCCTGGGTCTCCAGCTTGCAGAGAGCAGACCGTGGGATTTCTCGGCTCCCGTAATCCTGTGAGTATATACCTACTTGTGTAGATATCCAACTGTTTCTGTATCTACATGGGGATTTATTATGAGGAGCATACAATATTGTATTACAGTACACACGGAAACTGCAGTGTATGTATATAATAGTACACATGTGTATATATCAGTATACGTATATGTGTAGTGTGTATTGTGGACACATACATATGTGTCCTAATATGTATATATTTATAATGATTCTGTTTCTCTAGAGAACCTAATACCACCCCCATAGATCTATTCCGAAGATTCCATATAAATGAAGTCACACCATATGTGATTTGGGGACTGGCTTCTTCCGCTTAGCATAAGTTTTCGAGGTTGTAGCAGGTATTTCATTTCTTCTTATTGCCAAACAGTTTTCCATTGTACGGACGCACCTTTGCATTTCCCGCATTCGTCGGATGACGGACGCCTGGATGATTTCCACTTTTTGGCTATTACAAGTCATGTTGCTATGACTACTCACGTGTGAGTTTCTGTGCGGACGTAGATTTTTACTTCTCTTCTGCACAAATCTAGGAGTGGAGTTGCTGGATCATACAGTAACTATTTTTAACCATTTGAGGAATTGCTAGATTCTTCCTTTACTTCCTTTTTTTTTTTTTTTTAAAGATCTATTTATTTATTTGAGAGAGAGTGCGTGCATGGGTGGGGAGGGAGAGCGAGTCTTACTTAAGCTTCTGAGCTCCGAGCCGGACACCAGGCTGGATCTCACGACCCCGAGATCATGACCTGAGCCAAAACCAAGGGTCGGACGTCCAACCGACTGCACCACCCAGGTGCCCCCCCTTTACTTCTTAGTAGGTCCTCGCCATCCCCCAGCTCTACTGACCACAGCTGAAGGGCTCTGCTCTGCAATGAGCATACCCAATGGGCAGATCTGTGGTTTACCGTTTTCTTTTTAATTCAGTCTTTTTGACCCTGCCCCTTCCTTCCTCAACATTTGTGGTGTTTTTCCTTCCCCTGAGTATATGTGGAGGAGTTTCCCCCACTATGTTCAGAAGCAGACACCGCACTGAGAGCCCGGCTGGACTCCCATCTACTGCACAGTCCAATGCGACAGGAGCCTTCCCAGGACCTGAATAAAGAAAACCGACCAGGAGCTCACTGTTGACCTTGGTGCACAGAAAGCCAACAGCCGGCTCCTGAGGGCCTGCACCATGTCCATGTCCTTGGGCTTTCCGGCCCCCTGTCCCTACACAAGTTGGAACTCTGTCTTCTCCTCCCTTCATCTTCTGAAAAGACTGCAGTCGGGGCGACACGGCCAGTGCTGACTCCGAGCCGACAGTAGAGGGCACGTGTGTGGCTCCATCGGTTAAGTGTCCAGCTCTTGATCTGGGGTCAGATCATGATCTCGGAGTCATGGGATTGAGCCCCGTTTTGGGCTCTGCGCTCAGCAGGGAGTCTGCTCCTCCCCCAGCTCACTCTTTCTCTCTCCCTCTCTCAAAATAAATAGAAAAAAAAAAGAAGATGGAGAGGAGGAAGTGGCAGGGGCATCAGAAACTCTTTCCAAGACACTTTTCTCTCAGCTTAGCCAGTGTCCCCATGGCTGAATTGGTGCTTATTTAGGCACTGTCATCGCTCCTGTCAACACAAGATCCTGGGGTCTTAGTAAGTGCGCGAGCCTACCAACGCGGTGGCAGAAACTCCTTGCTACTGAAACCGTTGCTGCCTTACAGTAGGATCTTCCCCTCCAGTTCCACCAACATGCTCAAGGCCCAGCTTTCCAAGGAGCCCGAACTGCCTCCACAAAGATACAGCCAATGTTTCTTTATTACTTACCGTGCGCCAGCCACGGTGGCGAGGGCTTTAACTGGTGTGCAGACCTATAATCCCCCTCTCTGAGCTAGCTGCCACAGTTATCCCCATTTTAAAAATACAGAAGGGACCGGTAACTTGTTTTAGACTGTAAAGCTAGGAATAAGAACAACATCACTGAGACTTATTTCATGCTAAGCCCTGCTGCAAAGACTACGCAGTAACTCATCGAACCCTCCCACGACCCCAGGAGCAGGTAAATGCCACTGTCATCTTTGCTTGACAGAGGAAGACACAAGGTGTGGCGGAGACAGACAGCGTCCCCGGAGAGAAAGTGGGGGAACCAAGACCCGACCAAACTCATCAGAATCGGAGGCCTTGCTCTTAACCATCTTGTGGCACCATGAGATGCCCCACTTTTGTTTCTTCCCATCTCTCTGATTGAAGGCCTTTTTTCTTATGGTCAGTCAGACAACTGGACAGTGGAGGCTAGAATGGCCAGGGCAGTTTGAAGAAAGTCACCTGAGATGGCTCCTTCAGGAACATTTCCACGGTAAAAATAAGTAGCGGCTAATTACTGATCACTTACTGTATGACAGACACTGTCCTAAGCCATGCACACTAGTAGCTTACTTACTCTTCATAACACCCCTGTGAAGTAGACATCACAATTCCCATTTCAAAGATGAGAAAACTCTAAATCAGACAGATTAGGTGACTTGTCCAAGAGCCAAGATTCTACCACCAAAGCCCAAGTTCATCCCACCGACTCCAATCCACTGCCTCTCTTCACGGATTCCAGAAAACCATTGGACAGCCAAGAAAATCTGAGCTGCCGTACTTCCCATTGGCTCTCACTCCCCCGACTCACCAATGGTACCCAGAGTGATGAGCAAGTTCTGCCAGGGGCTTATGTGCTTGTCGTAGGGCCGGTTCCCGTACATGTGGGCAACACTGTTGACCAGCCAGGTGGCGTTGAGGGAGATGGTGTAGCAGAGGATGGAAGCCAAGAAGTAGGAGTTCCACAGACTCTCCCCCCAGAAGCACCAGGGCACCGTCGTGGGGACAGCGAAGCACATGAGCACCACGGTGATCTTATAGTACCTGCAGGCAGAGCATCACGCTGGCACCGGGCCCTGGGGATGGGGCAGGGACGGGCCGAGCAAGCCACCAGGAAATTCAGCAAGTGTGCCAGCTGGCTCCTTCCACGCTTTCTGTACGGAAACACCCCATTGCGTGTCACCCTGTACAGGGGTTGCAAAACCATATCCCTGCGAGGGCGAGGCAGGAGACCCAAAGTGGAGGTGGGACGGGCAGAGTGCTCTGGGGAGCGGCAGGGAAGCTCACCCGTTCGACGGCCCCTGCTCCTTCCCTCACCCCTCAATCAGCTGGATGACCAGGTTGTCTCCAGGGATCTCAAGAAACACCTATTTCTTGAGTAATTTTCAGACACGTGATTCCATACTATTTTAGCTTGGCACAAAGGTAAACAATCCAATCCCCTCTCAAAAAATGTTCTCTCTTCATTGGAGAGTACATTCCAAGCCAGCATAAAAAAAAATAAGTAATAAGGCTAGGCACAAGCAGGGCCACGTAAAAAGTCATCTTTACAAAGAAACTGTCAGCAGTTTGATTGTCAGACCTGTGTACCCAGAAGATTATTTACTAAGCACTCACGGGATGCCAGCCGCAAGTGCTGGTCATGCAAAGACAGATTCAACATGGTCCCCGCCGGGCCTCAGTTAGGTGGAACCAGTGTCTCCCACCTTCTGGCCATGTGGAACCAGCTCTGTGCAGGGACAGGAAAGGGGCTGTGCTGGGAGTTCGTAGCTCTTTCCTGCCTGGCCTCACGCAGCCTAACCCAGCTTCCTGAAGTCCTCTGTTAAGATGCGTATGTACGAAATGGCACAGTGTGAGGGAACGACATTCAGGAGGTGGAAGCCTTGAACTTGAGTCTAGATCTGTTTCTGGATGTCGAACCAGCCGTTTTGTTTCTTTTGCTCCCCTCCTGCATGCAGTTAGCTGGTTCCCCAAGAGCAGAGCCCGAGGCAAGGACCTGTGCAGGGGTAGTCTATTCTGGGAAGAGACAGGGACAGAGGGAAACCAAACCAGGGGGGCTCATATGCTGGACACCTGAACTTGGACCTCAGTGGGACAGATCACATTTTGGAGTTACTCTCTCAAGGAATGAGAGAAAAGGCTGTTTTCCCACTGGCTCTAACTATGTCCTGGCCAAGGGATGTCACATGGGATATCAGCTCCCTCACACCTCCAGTTTGCTCAGGTCAGCACGGCTGAGTGCATTTCTGGAAGCATCTCAGGTGGAGGTGGCAAAGATACCAGGCAGGAAGTAGGAAATAAGGCGTCCGGCTGAGCAAGGTGCAGTTGGGTTACACCTGGGGTCAGCAGGTGGCTGCAGCGTGAAAAGATGGGCAGAGTAGGAGGTGGGGCACGAGAGGGGTCTAGCGGGGGTGGTGATTATAATACCTACAGCGGATCTTGTGAGGATCCAGTAAGTAATATATACTATGTGCATATCATGTCATGGCTATTCTGAGAACTTCCCATGTACTGGCTCATTTAATCCTAATAAAAACTCTAGGGGGAAGTGACCATTAATATCACCATTTTACAGAGCAAAGGAAAGGTTACATAGTTGGGCCAAGGTTACAAGACTGAGACGTAGGAGGACCAAGATTCAGATCCAGGCAGAATCACTGTCGAGACCACCGTCCCTTCAACGCAGCTATCTTGGTATCCCAGTGACTTGAACACGGGTGTCGACGGGTTCACCTGGTGCCCAGCAAAAAACAGATTTTATGGGAACTGACACTGATGCACAGCTAGCAATCTGCAAAACACTCTTACATGCAGGATTTGCACATGAAATCATTGAAGTTGAAAGAAGGTCCTTGGGAGGTCAGATGAGTGGGCTGTGGCTAAAGGGGGAAAGATGAGATAATGCAGGGACTGGTGCTCTTACGCTGGGCTCCCTAGAGTCACATGCAGAAGACTCCAGGAGATGACTTTTATAAGAAAAAAAAAAAGATTTTATTTATTTATTTGAGAGTGAGTGAGCATGGGGCAGAGAGCAGGCAGAGGAGAAGCAGGCTCCCCGCTGAGCAGGGAGCCTGATGTGGACCTGATCCCAGGACCCTGAGATCAGGACCTGGGCCAAAGGCAGAGGCTTAACCCACTGAGCCCCCCAGTGCCCCGAGACTGCTCTTGAGAGCTACTTGTGAGGGAGGGAGAGGAAGGCAGGCTGAGCGGAGGCAGAAGCTCACCTACAAAGAGTTCCAGCAGATCCAACAGGGACCTCTGGGGCTGGATGACCCTTTAGAGTTGTCCCAAACTGAAAGGTCTCCCTGCATCACCCAGCCTTTGGCCTCGGGGCACACCCTGGGAGGGGTGAACCCTGGGACAGGGCAGTTCCACGTGGGCAAGGACGCTTCCAGAGAGGAGCACCCACTGAGGGGGCACCCGGGAGAGGCGCGCAGGCCCTGCCAAGGCCCTGGGGCTTGGTGGTGAGTGTGTGCAGGGAGGGGTGTTCGGAAGGGAAAATGGAAGAGGTGGCCAGAGCTGTGGATCTCTGCTGCTCGTCTGCACCTCCGAGGAGGAAAGCTGGCCAGTCTGTGTGTCAACAGAAGGCATTTTGTGACTGAAAAAGGTTCTTTCCTTCCTCCACTCTCTGGGCTACAGTCCAGGACCTTTGAAAAAAGCCTGTCCCGGGGCGCCTGGGGGGCTCCGTTGGCTAAGCGTCTGCCTTCAGATCAGGTCATGATCTCGGGGTCCTGGGATGGAGCCCTCTCTTCAGGCTCCTTGCTGGGCAGGGAGTCTGCCCCCTCCCCCATTCATGGGCTCTCTCTGAATCAATCAATCAACAATAAAATCTTTAAAAAAAGGAAGAAGATTGGCCTCTCTTAGTCCTGATCTGAGCCATTGTCTTGGCTGCTCATTTAGCTCCTGAAAAGGAGGAGGAGAAAGAAAACACTGCCGGCGAGCTCTGCTGGGCACCAGGCTAAGCAGCTCACAGGCCTTCTCGCTTCCTCCTTCCTGCAGACTGGGAACAGACAGAGGGGCCCACGGTTCCCCCAGGAGGAGGCCAGGCCCTCGCTCTGACCCTCAGCTCTGCCCCAGCCCTCTTCAGCTCACAGGACTCTGCTTCCACGGACGCCCCGCCCCCACCTCTTCTCTCCGAACTTGAACTTACCTGGACTTCTTAGGGAAGCCACCTTCAGCCTGGGCTCTGGCGTGGAGGGAGAGTGCCAGCCGCGGAGCTTCCCAAGTGGGAGGAGAAGGCGGCCTGGGCTTCACCCCCAGCACAACCTCCGTCCAGCTGAATGTCCTCTTCCTCAAAAACAGACCCTCTTTGACAATCCTTGCAGGGAAGCACTGGTGGGTTTAATGAGAGGGCTGTCCTGTGATGTTCTTCCTAGGAGGAATCCCTAGGATTCCTTGTTGTGCGTTCAGTGGAATGAATACAGGAGAAAGGGATTTTAGGGGCCACAGAGGGTCTGGGTGGGGCAGCCAGTAGCCTGGGTCTTGAGGCTGATCTTTGCATCAAAAATTCCCCGCAGCCATCAGACAGACCCGACGCCGTCCCGTGTCACCGAGGGGCCTTCCTCCCGTGCCTCTTGGCTTCCAGAAGCTTCATTACAGTTGCTGGCCTTCTTGCTTCAGAACAAGTGTGAGGATGGCTCCCTGGCTTCCTTGCTCAACGACACTCAACTCTGAACCCCCAGCCAAGGGTCCACCAGCAAGTCCGTGAGGCCTCCAGCTCCTTGTCCTTCCTCACTGGGGGGATTTCCTTTCTTCAGCTGTGGTAGGAGGAGGCTGCTGAGGGGCCCCCGACATCGCTCTGTGCTTTCACTGAAAGGGTTTCGTGCGTTGTAAAGTGTCACAGAGCAGTAAACCACCCAACTCCACCACTTCCTGGCCGTGTTTCCTTGAGCAGATGATTTAATCATACTGAGCCCCAGGCTTCTCTTCTGTAAAACGTGGTATTAACAAATGCACTGTGTCCCTACGACGTGCGCGTTGGTCCTGTCCTAGTACTGGGGATAGGAAGTGAACAAACCAGACAAAATCCCTGCCCCTGGGGAGCGGGGGCATTCTGGTGGGAAGATATATAAACACATGTATTATGTATGCACCAGACAAAAATGTACATGTATGCACACTCTGGTAGGGAAGAAAGCTGGTGAGTAACACACAGAGCACGTCCATGGTAACTACAAAGGCAAGAGTAAGCAGAGAAGGAGAGCAGGAGTCAAAGGCAGGTGCCGTCACTTAAAACAAGGTCTCGAGAAGGACTCAGGGACATTATAGTTAGCCGTGAGGCAGGTGGGGCGGAAGACTCCAGGCAGAGAAAACACAAGCATGAGGTCCTGCAGCAGGAGTGTTCCTGGCACTTTCGAGGACAAGCAGGAGAGCTGGGGCTGAAGCAGGTGAATGAAGGGGAGAAGGAGGGGGACAAGAGAAAAATGGCGGCCGAGTCACAGCACATCTTCGGGTCACCACAAGGGTTTCAACCTTCACCCTGAGCGAGACGGAGCCTTGGGCAGATTTGGCTCAAGGGACTGGAGTGACCTGACTTACATCTTAGCAGTGCCACCCCGAGAGTTGTGTGGACTGGGGGTGTGCAGAAGCAGGGGGACAATTAGGACGCGCTACAAAGTCTGGGCTGAGAGGACATTGGCTTAGACCAGGACAGGGGCGGCGGATGTGAGAAATGGTCAAATTCTGTGTATATTTTGAAAATAGAGTGACAGGACTTGTTAGCAGACTGGATTGTGGAGAGAAGGAAGTCAGGGATGACACTAAGGATGGAGATGGCGTCTGCGGCCACGAGGGAGGGAGGAGGAGCTGGTTTCCAGCAGCTCCTAAGGGGCTCAACCTTAGAGGTATCAGGTGGGAAATGCCCGTTACATTCAAGGGGCCTTGTCAAGCAGGCAGACGGATAGGTCTGGAGATCAGAGGTGCTCGAGAGAGGTCTGATGGGGACAGAAATTGGGGACCCATCAGCATATTACTGTGTGATACTCACACACACTGTTTTTCATCCGGTTCCACAGCAGCTCTGTAAGGTGCTTGCTGTAGCCTCACTTTGTAGGACCTTTCTGGAGCTCCAGAGAGGTCATGGGACTTCCTCAAGGCCACATTGGTGGGACCAAGCACAGGCAGGCTTCAAACGCAGTGCAGACAAACCTGCTATTTACTCGGCTTACCGAGCGCAGTGCGTGGGGGATGGGTAGGCTTACCCAGAGGTAAACCAGGCTGCAGTGTGTGGCCTAGCTGTTGCTCTGGGAGTCACACATACACGGACAAAAACACTGTCATCCGAAGGCTGGAACACTACACTCCAACGGGACTGAAATCCCATCCCTCTGGCACCGTCTTCTCCCTGTCTCCTGTGTCTGTGTCCTCGGCCTGGCTTACCCGACATTTCCAAGTACCAGTCTAAGTATCACCTCTCTGGGGGGACAGCCTCCGTCCCCCAGGGCAGGCCCTGTCCAGTGTTCGGGCTGCACACTGTACTTCTCAGCTCTCACACCTGCTGGCTTAGCCGGTGGCCTTGCCCATGAGGTCAGGGGTCTCAATCCTGACTACACGTTCCAGTCAACTGGGTGAACATTCAGAAATGACTGATGTGGGAAACCCGCTATAGACCGACTCAATCAAAGGGCATTTCTGTTCCAGGCACTGATATATATATTTTTAAAGATTTTATTTATTTATTTGACGGAGAGAGATCACAAGCAGGCAGGGAGGCAGGCAGAGAGAGGGGGGAAGCAGGCTCCCCACTGAGCAGAGAGCCTGATACAGGACTCGATCCCAGGACTCTGAGATCATGACCTGAGCCACCCAGGCGCTCCCAGGCACTGATATTTTTAAATAAAGCCTCTCCATTGCAGATGTTGACCGTAGTCTCCCTATAATCTGCCCCCACCCTTTCTTTCTTGCTGGAATGCTCTGATTTTGTTCAGATAGCTGACTGTTGTCCCTGCAGCCGTGTCCTTCGGGGAATGTGGACTCTACCCATGATGTGAGTCCTGATTGGTTTGAAGCCATCAGTGGTGATCTCATTCACTTTCCCAGTAGGGAAGATGGGTATGATTTTTAAAAAGGTAAATAACAAATGTTGGTAAAGACAGAGAAATCAGAACCTTCATGCATTGCTGGTAGAAATGTAAAATGTCGCGGCTGCTAACAAAAATAGTTTTCCAACAGGTTATATATCAAGTTATCATATGACCCAGCAATTCAACTCTTGGGCACACATTCAGAAGGATGGAAAGCAGGGACTTGAACATACACTTGTATGCCAGTGTTCATAATGGCGTTCTGCACAGTAGCCAAAAAGTGGAAATAGCCCAAGTGCCCATTAATAGATGAATGGATAAACAAAATGGTGTGTGTGTGTGTATAGACAGACAGACGTATATGTAATGTATGTGTGTGTATGTATCTATGTTTGTCTACATATGTATGTATAATGGAATATTATTCCAGCACAAAAAGGACAAAATTCTTACATATGCTATAACATGCACGGAGGGACCCTGGAAACATGCCTAGTGAAATATACCGGACACAGAGGACAACGATTGTTCATAATTCCACCTACATAAGGTACCTAAGCAGGCAAATTCACGAAGACAGGAAGTAGGATAGTTGGGCCTCGGAACTGGAGGGAAGCATGGAAAGCAGAGGGGGAAAGGGAATCCCCTGTTTAATGGCTATAGAGAGTTTGTTGGGAATGATGGAAAAGGTTTGGGTATCGATTCTGGTGACGGTTACACAACGTGGTAACACAGTGAATGTACTTAATGCCGCAGAACCGCACGCTTAGGGTTGAAATGATAAATACTATGTTGTGTGTATTTTACCACAATAAAAAAGATCAAGATGAGAGAATATTTTCTCAGCCACAGAAAGTACACATGGGCAGAAGTGGTTTCTCTCTTTTCACAGTGACCCCAGGACCTACTGCAGCCATCCGTGACCGTGACAGGCAGAAGACTGAGAAACAAAGCAGACCCCTTAGGTTGACGGAGCAGAATGGTGGAAAGGTCCTTGAACGAGCTACTGAACTAACCAGCCACAGAGGGCCTCTCTGACATCTCACTCTGGGACAAGCCAAGCTACTGAACTAACCAGCCCTAACTAACTAACTAACTAACTGACGTCTCACTCTGGGACGAGGCTGTTGAGTCAGCACCATCTGTGGAGTCTCTGAGCGCAATGTAGGACTTGCCGCGGACGCTGACGTACCATCCGGACCTCCTCTCTGTGGACAGTCACTGACAGCACTGCTTCCGCGGCAGGGAGCCGCCCTGCTCTAGGTCACGCCCTCTCTTAACAACCCCATCCGGGGACTAACCTTACAGAGGGAGAGTCGTCCATTGCCTAGGACTGTCCCACTGCCTCATCTCTCAATGGCTCTGAAGAGTCACCCCAACTTCAGAACCCACTGTATGGTGAGCTAAGGCCTTTGATGGACCGATGAGGACCTGGCTTCTTCCCTTGCCCAATCCTGTTTCCGGCCCTTCTTCTGTCGGTGTTGACCCTAAGTGCCCTCTCCAGTTCACTTCTTACAACATAATATCCACCTCAGAGCCAGCTTCTGGGGTAACCTGTCCTGTGACATGGATATATTGCTGGGCGGATGGAGTCCAGCAGAAAGCCACTCTCCAGAGCCTAGCACAGGCACCGCACAGAGCAGGCACTCCTCCTTATCTGTGGAACAATGAAGCCAATGATTCTTTGGTTAATACATTACTGAGAAAGCTTCGCAGGAAAATACAAACCCTACAGTGACTCAGAAGGACCCAGAGCATGAGAGATAAAATGTCAAGGTTTCCAAAAAACACAAACCACAAAATACATGTGCCTCCTGCTTTTGGGTTCTTCATGAGCCGCTTATCTTTTGGGTTAGTGCCAACACAGGATTGTGAATATGAAACCAACGACATGATTAAAGACATTCGTGCCCATCAGGCCCCAAACCCCAGATCCCAAGGATTTCACTGCAAGGCCTCAGAGCTCTGGTTTTAAAGGATGATTTCTGAGCATGAGCTTTCGGGTCATTCTCTGAGCTGCCAAACACGGCAACCGGTTGGCAATATCTAACAGCCACTCCGACAGGTCTGGTCTTGGTTTGGAATGTGAGTGCCTTCCTCTCTGTTTCTCCACGGCTACTCAGACCCCGAGACAGGAGGAGACTCCTAGAACCTTCAAGGGAGAGAAAGACAGCGGTTGGTATGAACCCAAGAGCAACCCAAGGAAGAGTAGTTCCCCTCCACAGATTTGAAACCAGATACGCACAGGTTTGAGCTCAAAACACAAGCACCGGAGCACTCAAGCTCACCCTACCAGCTGCTTGGGAGCCGCTTTCTACAGCTTCAAAGTCACAGCTGGCAAGAGCAGGCCCGTGACAGACTCTGGAAACCTGCCCATTCCCACCAGCGACTCCACCGTGGGAAGATGTTTCTCCGAACTGAGCTCAACAGAAGAGGCAACTTTACACAAGCAAGTGCCGTCACTCACCATGACGGCCCGACCGGAGTGAGCGCAAGTGATAGAACACGAATGAAGATGTGGGCCGCCATCTTGCCACTCTGTCAACACCCCAAAGACTATCTTTATTCCAATAAACGGGATCACAATAAAGACAACTGAAGCGTTAAAAACAGACTTGAGACTTGCAGCCCCCCTGGGGGGCTCAGTCAGTTGATCATCTGACTCTTGGTTTCGGCTCAGGTCATGATCTCATGGGTCATTCCCTGCCCCTCCCTCGACTCAAATGCACACACGAGCGCTCTCTCTTTCTCTCTCGAATAAATAAATAAACCTTAAAAAAAATAGACTTGAGGCCAAAAATTTGTTCTATGGAGAAGAAAGGATTTAGGATTTCTTCCTTTTTTCCCTCCCTTCCTCCCAAATCTGAGTGTGCTAAGCATCTTAAAACTGTTTTCTCTTTCGATGAAGAAGAAATTGCAGTTCTCTGCCTACAGGCATTTCCTATGGCTTGAACAACCCTAAGCACAGTGGTCCAGAGCCGGTGGTGTGTGAGATTTCCAAGGGGGACCATGAGAGCATGAAGGAAGGGGAAATAATCCATCCACTGCCGATTCCCAGGGGGGCTGGCCTCAGGAAATGAGAAAAGTAACCACCACCACGGATGACAGAAAAATTACAGCCCCACAAATGCATCCTAATGATGAGCGATGAGCTGTCACTGGCATCTTGATTACACGTTTGGTTTTGTGATTTCACTTAAAGCCTAGCTGGAAAGTCATTTTCCCTACAACTTTGGCATCTTGTAGGGAACCAGGCAAAATCATCTGGATGCTTACTAAACATTCATTCAGAGGACAGATAATACACTTGGCAGTTCGTAAATGGAATGCACGGCACTCTCTCCCCACCCCCCCACCCTTGCTAGGTCCCCTCTGGCATTGCCCACAAGGAGGTGAAAGATGTGATTCATTTGGATGCGGACCTGAAGAGGAAGCCCCCTGATGGGGAGCTTCAGAAAATCTTCCAGACTATTCCAAGTGTTTGAAAATGGGCTCTGCTGCTGTGCTCTCAATTTTGCCTCTCTGGTGCTGCAGTGGCTCTGAGTGAGAGGGCTCACGATGACTGCATTTGAAGGGTGTCCTGAAAGTCTTGATCATTCCAGATCTGGTCTCGACCCCCCATTAGTCTCAACATCACTTCCCCTGTGCTACTTCATGATAAGCCTTCCCGTAGAAGAAAATCTTTTAATTGGACTATCTAGACGCATAATCGTCATCTTTCGGGAGCTTCTCCTGCCCAACGGAGGGCGCAGAGATGGGGAGCGACTGCTCCATGGAAACATCTCCTTTGGAAACTGGCAAGGCAGTGGGGAAAAGGCGTGTCTCTATGTTCTTTCTGCCTTCAGCTTTATTTGCTTTGGAGGTCTGCACATGGGGGTGGCATCCATCCACTCGAACTTAATGTGTCTTTTTTTTTTTTTTTTTTTTTTTTTTTTTTAAAGATTTTATTTATTTATTTGAGAGCGAGACAGTGAGAGAGAGCATGAGCAAGGAGAAGGTCAGAGGGAGAAGCAGACTCCCCATGGAGCTGGGAGCCCGATGTGGGACTCGATCCCGGGATTCCGGGATCATGACCTGAGCTGAAGGCAGTCGTCCAACCAACTGAGCCACCCAGGCGTCCCCTTAATGTGTCTTTGTACAAACAGCTTGCATTCACTCGCTAAGCAGCAGTTTGAAGATAAACACAAACATTTCAGAATTTCAACACAAGGAACATTATTTGTACCTCACCAGCAATGACGTGCTTAAAGACAAGACCCAGGCACACTGATTACTAAGACAGAGTAAGGAGGGTCAAAAGGTTGGGTTTTTTTGTTTTGTTTTTTGTGGGGTTTTTTTTGCTTTTTTCAAAGCTTTGATTCTACGTAGACGGCAAGTTTCTTGTGGGCAGGATTTTCCTTGATCCAAGTCTCATCACCCATGGTTCCTTGAACCCAAAGCACTCGTTAACACGGTAGGTGCCCAGTAAACACTGAACTATTGGCCTGTGCCAGAAGGAGTGAGGGCCACGATCCATCTGTCTTTGGCAAAAGCAATGACGTCAGTTCACCCTCCTAATGGTTTGATCCCGAGCGCTTCTCTAGTCGTCTCAGCACAAGTCTAAGTTGGTTAGACTGCGGTTCTGCTCTCTCTCCGGGACTCTTTGTCTCTCTCTGTCCTTCCTCCCTCCCACACACCTCCCCCCCTTCCTGCTTCCTTATCAATTGTTCCTGTTAAGTAATCAGAGCACAGACTAATTCCTGACTGTGTATAGAAAAGGGTTACTAAACTCAACAAATAAAATCACTTACAAAGTAATTTTTTATACAAAGTTGCTGGCATTTCCAGTTTCTCTCACCCTTAAAACTCCATTCCACGTTCATCCTTGGTATTTGAGATTAAGTGAGCGCTGTAGGAGAAAACACAACCCCTGCTCTCACTCTGGGACCTAGAAAATCGCATGCAAACTCCTTTGTGTACTTTCCTTTTGGGGGCTCAAAGGCCACAGTTTTCATCAAATTCTCAAAGAGATACTCGATTCCCAAGGCCCCAAACATTTGATGTTGTTGTTGAACTTTGATTTTCTTTGTTTACTTTAGGATTTGGCGTAGGATTTAGGTAAGAAAATTTCATCCAATTCAAGGAAGGGTCAATTTAAAGAATTTAAAGGCATCCCTGGGTCGCTCAGTTGGCTAAGCATCTGACTTCGGCTCGGGTCATGACCTCAGGGTCCCAGGATCAGCCCCACATCAGGCCCTGTGTCACTCCATGATGGCTGACAGACCCCCACGTGGGCTCTGCATTTAGCAGGGAATCTGCTTGTCCTTCTCCCTGTGGCCCGCCCCTCCCCCATCTCATGTGCACACGCTCTCTCTCTCTCAGATACAAATCTTAAAAAGAAAACTAAAAAAAAAAAAAAGAATTTAAAGAATAGTACTTTTAAAAATGAGATTGTCCTACTCTTTTGGCAGTAAAATGCTAAAAGGGATTACAGCAATACTAGACAGAAGTGTGTGTGTGTGTGTGTGTGTGTGTGTGTGTGTGTGAGTGTACTCCCCTGATCACTCTAGCCTACATACATGTGGCCTTTTGGCTGAAAGGCCAGTCACCAACAGAGTTCAGCTCCCCACCCCCACCCAAGGGAGCACGTTTAATTCCGAGCTCTAATCAATGATAAGCTCTCGTGGGCCACCAGACTCTGCCGGAAAGGAGCGGAGGGTGTCCCTTCAGCTACCTCCAGGACCAGGCTCAGTGCTACAGCCGGCTGACTGGGTAGGCTGACTGTTTGGTTGAGAAAGAATAGGCTGGTGGGCACCGGCTTCCTCCTTGCACACGTGATGATCCTTGAGCACAGCACAGGCTTCCTAACGCATTTCCTGCACCCGAGCAGCCCATCCTTCCAAAGCTCCTCAGGCCTCCAAAACTCAGTTCAAATTAATTTCTTCTGGGAAGCCCACCCTGATAAACCCCTCAACCACGGCTGCCACGTTGTCCAACATCCCATCCGTACAACTGCACTGTAAAGACTCCAGAAGACCATCAGTCTGGAGAGTTGAGTTGTCAGACCAGAGGACGGTACACACGTTCAATTACATCAACCTGAAGAAAATTGTATGTGGACGTCATTCCCCATTTTTCTGCCTTCTTAGTTTTTGGAACAAAACTTGACCATCCTTGACGGTGATGAGGGTCTTCTCCTGGGTTCCCCAGAAGGCAGGGCCGAAGACAAAAGCTTACGTGCCACGGCTCTACAAAAGGAGTTCAGGCCAAGGGAAGCAGTGTGGAGGCAGGAGGCTGGGGCAGCGACAGGAAGGAGTATGTGTTGCGGAGCCAGACACCGCTCAGTATCTCAGCCTGGGGGGCCTGAAAGACATCACGGGTGACGGAGCCTCGAACACTCCCTCTGGGAGGAGGGCGCGGGAAGAATGTGGCTACCAGAACCCGCTCCCACTGCTCTGCCCGCCCTCCCCACAAGCTTCTGGATCCTGAGCGGGGCTGGAAACCACAATGCAGGCAGGCTCAGCTGGCATCTGACAGACTCGAGTGAGTTCCTAAGCCAGAGGCCCATTACGGGCTTCCACTATTTTTATCTCCAATCACCCCCAAAGAGTTTGTAATTAAGATAAGGGAGATGAGTTTTCACTGGTAAAAGTAGTGGCCGAAATACGTGCATTGGCTAGAAATACCATGTAGGCCGTTCTCCGTGGCCCATATTCCTCAGAGCGACATCCCCACAGGCTCTGCTCCCTCCTGTGCCCGACCACAGACTCCCGTGGCCAGATCCTGACGAGGTGGGGACAGAGAGTGCCACCGCACATCTTCCCTGCAAGGGCTCACCGACATGTCCCCAAGGGCAGGAGGCGAGGCTTCATCAAGCTACCAGTGCTTTGCCTGGCTGTTTTTGTCCCCAGCTGTTAATTATGGTAGAATTTGGTCTCAGGCAGGATTCTGCTTAGGGAAGAGCCCTTTCCTCCTCCCCCTCACACCAGAGTTGGCCAAGGTCAGTTCCCAGCAAATGTGGCCAAAGGGTCTGCTGCTGGCTGATCTATGTTACAGGTATGGCCTCTCGCCCCTCGCCATACCTTTAAGGGCCAGAGGCACCAGGAGTCCTGGACAGTAAGATCCCTGCGGTGTGAGGAGACACTGCATGAGCGCGCCGCGGGCTCCCTGAACGCCCGTCCCACACTGGGAGGCTTCGAGCCCTACCGTGAGGGGGAGGGGCTGCGCCAGCAGGGACCACTTACCTCAGCAACTGAGGGTGACAGCGTCATACACAAACTTTCACCTCAAAGGCTGGTTCTCAGCAGTGGGTTGTCCAGCATTCTCCACAAACTGGACCGTCAACACACTCCTCAGTCCGAGGCGTACCTTTGCAGGTGCTACGGGTCACTAGTCCCAGTAAGTAGGAAGACGAAAGGGACAGTCGCTCCTCAAGGAGTCTATGGAGTCTATGGTCTAATGAGCGTGATGCATTGATGTGGTCCAGCACGACCAGCCGCAGCGCCAGAGGCGCCTGCGTCCTGCAGCCCGATGACAGGGACTCCAGGACA